CCTCCAGAGCCGACTTATAGGGCCCCTCGCTGTCAGAGTCTGGTGGCAGCTCCAACGGCTCCTGCTGGGCCATAACAGTAAAGAAACACTACAATGGAAACTGATAGTAGAATCAATACTCTGTAAGGAAGAAACTCAAATAAAGATGCCATCATAGCATTGTTTCAAGATCCTTCCTCAGATGATGAATCATTTCCAGAAATCTATGGTATGTTGCCAGGCACCATGGAACCTGAGTTACCACTGACCTCAACTTTCTTAAAATGAACACTACAATTTTGTCCCAAATCTGGAACTTCCTCTATGTAGCCTCAAATAGTCCAGCAGTTGAAAAGTGAACAACAATGGGCAGAGAGAATAGAAGTGCTGAACTTCACAAAGAACAGCAAGACTTTGCAAGATTACTCAGGAGAAATCTGCTAGGGGAAACCAAAGTTGCTGTGGGTCAAAACAGGATCAGAAGCAGCTGCTATCTAAAGATCATCATGGATTTATATCACAGAATAATACTATTCTGGGGTGACTCCATGAAATTCCTACTGCAGTCTCCTCCCTATCAGGTTTTTTTTCCTGGAAATTTGACTTAGTTTAGTTTGGATTCATAACTTGGCTGTTGTTTTTCCCCTAGTGCATAGTTTGCATGTAAGATAGCCTTCACATGTATAATTTTGGACTGGATTAATTACCTTGAGATAAGCCCAACATATTTATTGCTATCGAAGCAGATAGTTGTAGCCATAGCCATAGCCATTTGTGAAGCCTTGAAAGGAATAAGCCTAGTAAGTGAAAATAATCAAGAGAATCAAGAAACAAAAGTACATAAAGATATTGTGCATCATGTACTCAGAAATAGTTTTCAGACCTTTGTGGCTGCAATGGGCTCAGATAATTCAGAAGAAGAGATGCTGCAGAATGGAAGACAATAAATCCCTAAAAGGCAGAGGGGGGGATGCAACTGTGACAAAGAAGAGCGATGGTAATTGGTAATTCTCTACTATGAAGAAGCGAAGCACGTGTATATTTCCCAGACACATCTGCTTTTGAGGAGTACTAATTGCTAGGAGCAATCCTTAAGGATATGGAAATAGCAATAGCAATAGCACTTAGACTTATATACTGCTTAGAGAGGGCTGTAGAAGCAGAGTCAGAATATTGCCCCCCAAAATCTGGGTCCTCATTTTACCCACCTCAAAAGGATGGAAGGCTGAGTCAACCTTGAGATTTGAACTGCCGAACCACACCTAGTAGTCAGTTGAAGCAGCCTGCAGTACTGCACTCTAACCACTGCACCACCTCGGCTCTTCTAAAAATATGGAATGCTTCACGAATTTGGGTGTCATCTTTGTGCAGAAGCCATGCTAATCTTCTCTGTATCGTTCCAATTTTAATATATGTGCTGCCAAAGCAAAACAACATCCTAAGCTTATCAGATCAAACTATTATTGGCCCCTGCTGATACCTATAGCGTAGGCCAAAACACCATAAACTTCAGCAATCTTAGAAAAAGGTCAAGACCTTTGGGGGCTCAGGCAGCATTCGCATCCATCATTCATGCAAGTGGACCAAACATCCTTTCTTACAGATCATTCACTGCAGTGGTGGGTTGCAGGCGGTACACCCCAGTACGTGCATACCGGTGCCTGCCAGAACAGTGCTTTGGAGGGCCTGCCTGCCCGTCCTCTTTCCTTACCTGTATTTGAAGGAAACGGGCCATCTGTGCACTTGCATGCAGCGTACAGCACCTGCATGACGCTCCGCCGAGCAGCTGGAGTGTCACAGGCGGTGGGTGCACAAGACTGAGGGGAATCAAACATATGTTTTGATTCTCATAAAAATGGATTTTAATGTGAGCTAATATATCTAGAATTTCATGGTAGGAAAATCTTGTGGAAAACTGAACATGAATCAACAAGGAAAATGCAGCTTGGTTCTATTTTATTGTGTTTTGATCATATTTCATTTCCTACTGTGTCCAAATCTGGGCATCACACTTTAAGGAGGATTCAGAGAAACAGGAACAAACTTAGAAAGGCAGCAAGGATGATTAGATATTACAAATAAAGCCTATAAAATGAGATTGAAGGTGACGTAAGAAGAGAAAATAGACTGGAGGATAGCATTCTTTAAATATCTGATAGGAAATCACACTGAAAAGGGCAATACCTTTTCTTTATTACTTCAATACATGGAATGATGAATTTAAGTTAGAAAAATAGATTCCAACTGAATTCTAAGAAAAAAATCTTTTTTTTTTACAATCAAACCAATTACCCAGTGAAATTGGCTCCCCTTCATTCTAAATGGTCAAACCAAGATTTAGTAGCAATTCATCAAGGCTGCTTTAATTTGGAAGTATGCCCTAAGCACTGGATGAGACAAAGACCTAGTTGCCCTTTTCCAATTCCATGCTTACCCCAAAGGCTGAATTTGGCCCAGTCACTCCATTTTAAAGAAGTTAGTTTTACAGGATTGTTGCTGTGGAGATTACATGATGATAGACTGAATTCCTTCAGAAAATGTGGGCTATAAATCCACCAAGTAAACTACAAATGTTGAACTGTCTGATCAGTCTAATAGTACTTCACAATATAATATATCTGCAAAATATTAAGAGAGAGATGAGATTTGTAGCAATTTGGAGTGCAATTATCAAACTTTTGGTACACAGTACATAGCTATGTGTATGTGCTCTCTTTCCCCCTGATTCTGTAAAAAAAAAAATCTTTCCCTTCTGGTTCAGTCCTGCCAATACATTACACATTTTAGAATCTGTTTCAATTTTGCAGTGCTGTTAGATAACTAAATGGCTATTCCAAGACAGTTTTTTTTAATCTGTCAATTGATTATGCAACATCTTTTTTATTTTGGGTGCAATTCACTATTCTGATCTGACAGTGAAAGGAAAAATCTGGATGTAGGCATTTACACAGAGACATTGATTCCGTGTATCCTGTTTATACAGAAAAGACTAAGAAATGAAGACAGTAACTTCCAAACTTCCTCATTTAGGCTTTAAAAGAAGAAAGGGAACATATACTGCTGCTAGTTCCATCTGCAAATAATTTAGATTATTTTCCATTATGGAAAGAACAGCAACATACATTGGTATTTTACATTAGTCTGAAATGTCTAGAACATGCCCAAGTACAAAATACATATGCATTTTATGTGCACATAGGATTAAATGCATGCTTTTTTTTAAAAAAGCCCTTAAGTTCCATATACATTATGTATGTAATCATACACCCACAATGTGCTTTGGAATCAGGCTACAGAAAGAGTCAAAAATAGGATGGAATCCAACACTTTCCAAATATATATGGAGATGATGGGATCAGCTGTTTTCCCTAACCAGTGGGAATGTGAAAAGAGACCAGAGCTGAAAACGGTAAAAAGACAAATTTCAAAGTGCAATGTTAAATATATATCCATGAATTTAATAGTTAAACATTTTTTGTGGTGCCTGCCTTTGCACCAATCTGCCCCTGAGATTCAGATGGACCCAATTCACTTAGTTTGGACAAAATCTTTAAAAACTTGGCTTTTACTCCAAGTTTAGTCTAAAATGATAGATGAATCCATCTTCTCGAAGATGGAGTATATATGATAAGTGCAATATGTTATCTGATGTGTTGGTAATCAAATTCATTACTTTTGTTGATATAAGGTTTTTTTAAACTTGCAATAATATTTGGAGATGTTTTATTTGATGTACACTGCACAAAGTTGCAGTTACACAAAGTTAGGTGACTATATAAATCTTCTAAATGCTGTGTAGTATGATGATGGAGACTTTCTCAGATAAAATGCTCAGCATAATAGTCCTGCCAAAAGACAGATAACATGTTTGATGTTCTAGATTTGCAGCTTTTCAAACTCAGGAAAATGCCAAATGTATTTTTTTAGATATACTAATTAAATTCATGTATTTGCATGAATGAGTAGATGTGATTGTATAAAACAATATGATTCAGGGAGTTGTGCTGAAGCCAACACTTAATCCTACATGAGTTATATTTTTAGAATATTAAGCAATAAACTTTATGTTACATGTGGACTATATCTCTAGCTTTCTGTGAAAATTCACGTATACATGATTACTTTTTCATGTGTAACAAAAGAATAACATAAACAAGCAATGTTATAAAGAAACAAAAGAAGATGAACCAAAAATAAAGCATGGGAAAAGTAAAGGAAAACATTTAACTTATTTTAAATGTTTAAACATTTAAATTATATGAATTTAGATCTGGGCAACTGGCAAGTAATTTGCATTTATTATTTTATCTTTTGCCATGTATGTGTCACTCCAATTCAGAAACTCTGAGTAGTTTATAATAATCAAATACAAAGTAGGATAAAAGCAATAGAAAGAAAGTCAATCTAGCTCATAACATCCAGCCCAGTGGATCTGCAAATTGGATAATCTTTCATCAAACCGCTCCAGAAGGGGTGTCTTTTTACAATTCTTCATAGCTAATGAAGAGGGAGTGTTTTCATAGCTGATGTAGGCTGTTCTAGATGAGAAGGGTTATCACTGAAAAAAAATTGCCAAAGGGTTTCCTGCATTGGAGGAGGGATTCTCAGCAAGCCTTTGCTTTGTAATCTCATCAGTTGAGCAAATTCCACCCAGAGCAGAGGGTTTCACAAATATCCAGATCCTAAGCAAATGGAATTAATTCAACAAAATGCTTTTTAAATATACTGGATCCCTCAGAAGAAGGTGTAGAGTAAGGATTGTTTTTAATTTCTATATGTTGGAAATATGGTTTGGGCCTGCTTTACAGTATCACTGTGTTGCTTTAAAGTTAATAAAGAATTAAATAGAATGCTCAGAAAAGAAATGAGTCAAAGATGTTGAATACAAATGACTGTGTATGTATGAAAAAATGGGGAGTTTGGATTTGCCACGCATGGGCAGCGGTTAAGAGTAGCGCATGATTCTAGTATATCAAAATCAAAGATGGAAGATATCCCTACATTTTCTACCGACTATGAGGAAATGAATCAACATGATTCTGCATAGTGAAGTTTTAATTTGTTGTTTGAACATTGACACCATGTGATTATTCTATTATGTATTTATCTTCTATACCAGAGCCAATGCAGAGTAGTCATAGCCATTTTACCCATGGAAGCTCAATGGGTGACTTAAGCCTAATTTCTCTCAATCTAACCTATCTGTCAAAATTGTGTTATAGTCATGGATAAAAACGGCAGAAGAGTTATCAATAAACCCCAGAAAAAAGTTTTTAAAAAGGTTTTTCCCCAATGGAATCATACAATATACAGAGAGAGATTTAAAATTTGTCTTATGTAATTGGCTGTAGTTTAGGGGAGGTCCTCAGAAGTATGAGGTAACCAGCTGGCTTCAAATCCAAGCTGTGCGGTCGACTGATGAAGGAACATATCATTGTTACGCAAAAAACAGTGTTGGGCAAGTGGCAGCTCCTGCCAGCCTTATGGTCCTTACTCCTGGTAAGTAGAAATTAGCCTTAAGTCATTTCTTTAGCAAACCTGTTTGTCTCAATAGTTGGTTTTCTCTTGCGTCCACCAGTACCCACATGTGTCTTCTGTATTCCAGAAACTGCTAATGTCTATCTAGCCATTAGTTCCTATTTTATATATCTTGTGAAAGCATAGAGATTGAATTTAGAAATTTGGAAATATGGAAATTCCTTTCCAATTTCACCAAGTAAATTATTTATTTTCTGTGCCCCATAAAATGCTGTTGATATAAAAATATAAATGCTGTTTTGTAAAGAAAGGGAATTGTGTTTCTTCTTTGCATTTCAAACGGCACTTTATAAATGCATGGCATTGCCATCAAAATAGCAGCCTTTGTCCCATTGTTAGCAAAAGGATAGATGACTTCCTCCAGATGTTTTGGAGTTCAGCTACTATCAGATCCACTAGCTTGGTCACTGAAATTATCTGAAACATCTACAACCAATATGCTAATTGCCTGACAAATAGTAGTTTGACAGTTACAACTATGCTGATAGATTGTAAAATTCATAGGCAGTCCCCATTATCCAGTTAACAAGACTTATTATACATTATAATTCGGAAATGTAATTATTTTAGTCAACAATTATTAAGCAGTAGATAAAGGAGGACAGTAACGCATTTCAGATGGTAACAATATGCTTTGTGTCTTATATTTGCAGATCAACTGAACTTAACCTCACTGGCTCTGCCCAAGGGGCCCAACCTGGGATCAAATGATGACTGGGGGAGTGATGAATTGTATGATTATTACTGAGAAGGGCATATAGAGGGCAGCACTCAGAATGCAAGGTCATTTGTATTCTTTCCCATTTGAACATTTATTGCATCATCAACTGGTGCCCCAGTTCCTTAGAATAATAATGAATATGGAAACTCTTGGGTGAATTTAAGGAAGCCAAAATATTTTTTTTCTATGGAGAACTTTAGTATAAGTTAATTCTGGGTAGACAAAATAAATATACTTAATTGTATGACCAATCCCTGGATGACAAGTACATCAACGCAAGTAGAAGAGAAGAAGTGATTGTATTTAACTGATGCAAATCAAATGGACATTAAAAAGGACTTTGATTAGCTTCTGGAGGAGTATAATTTCATTGATTTGATGCATCACATTCACAATTATTCCTTTTTAGTATAGCCTTTATTGTCATTGTACATCATGTATACAATGAAATTGGTTAATTTTCTAATTGCCTTTTCTAGATTAGACTACATTGATGTATATAATTCAAGTAGCAGAGATCTTGGAGGAAAAAAAATAAGCCTTTTCCTTTTAATGGGAAACCTAAGAGTTCAGCCTAAGAACTAAAATCTCTAGCAAAATTCAGTTTAACTGCCTGTTTGGTACATAAAAGAATTTAAAGGAGGAAAGATTAGATCAGCAGGGAAGAAAACTGCTGAACAAGTTTGGGAACAGCTTTTAAAATGGAAGCCAGGTTTCAAAGGTTGCCAAAACACATACTGCATGTAAACTGGATAAGGCGTGCAGGATATTATTTGGCGAGGCCTATGTTGTCACAGCTTTAGGTTTCCTTGTTGCAGAAAGGAGAATGAATATCAATTAAAAAGTGCTGATCAAAGAGACCGCAACTGGAGTCCTCCAAAAATAGTAATACTGGTCAGTGACTCTGTTGTGAATTTAACTATTCTTCAGCTTCACTGCTAACTGTAATTCATAGTATATGCCACCTTTGTTTTTCAAGTTTTTCTTTTCTTTTAAAGCCCGAAAGTCTATATTTACATACAATGTATGAAAAAAAAAATCCTGTCTCAAGGTAGTTTGTTTCAGTTGTGAAATCTGGTATTACATTCAGAAAAGCCTAAAATGAAATGAGCATGAATGGCTCAATTTCAATTAGGACCTAAATATATCTGATCATGATGACCCACACAAAGCTATAAATGGTGAAGCAGTGAATGTAGCATTTGAGCATTGGAATTTAAGCTATGACAGCTGCATTGATCTGTTCAGCCATAAAATAAGTAGGTGCAGTTGAGTTAGTTATTCTGTCTAATCTACCTTATTTTTTGTATTGCTGGCAGAATTAAAACAGGCAGGACGTGTGGGCCAATTACCTTCCCTTATACATTACTAGAATGGCTAAAATTCATAAAAATAATAACTAATGTGTGCTCAACAAAACAGCACATTTGGATGTTCATCTTGGTCTCTATCTGTCCTACTCAAAAAGTCCTGTTCCCTCAATTCTGGATGCTTCTTCCCCCATGTTATTTTCTCTATGTATGAACTCACCTAATTCACAAGACCAAAGACAGTTTACAAACAATAAATAATAGCTACAAATAATATTCCAATTATACAAGCTAAAACCATCGCATTATGATTCTGACCCAAAGACCCTGCAAAACAAAAAGTTCTTAAATGCCTTCTTATGGGTTGCAAACTTAGGAACTTCATAGACATTAGAAGTCCAGGTATTCCAAAGTAAGGGGTAGCCACCAAAAGGATATTGATACAAACATGCATATACACACACCAGTATCTTTGTCAGGGTTCCAAATAACATCCAAAAGTAAATCAGAGTCCAAGGCAAAGGATTCCTCAAAGTTCCAATTTATTAAGAGAGTCATGTTGGCACATCTGGGAAAACCTGAATCTGAAAGCTTCCAGGTTTTCCCACCCAGTTGTAAGTTCAAGATCCTACCCCTACACCCACAAGTCCATCACATGGTCCAATCTTCCACTGCCACGCTGGCAGCTTCCACCCATCCAGTTCCAGCCAGGATGACCTTGGTTTTCTAGAAAGAATTTTGTTATGGCTACATATCTCCCAACTCCATATAATCCCCCCTCCCATTTCCCCACAATAGAAAAATGCATAGTAAAATAATAGAAAGTGTGGCAGGCCTGAGGTCCAAAAGAAAAGATGGCTTGCAAGCCTGACACTCTTCATGAGAAAGAGACCTGTAGCATCTCCTCCTGAAAGCATGCATGGGACAGGTCATGATCTTTGGGAGATGGTAATACTCTAAGTATTCAGTGGCCAAGCCATGTAGGGCTTTATTGAATGCAGAAGCAAACTGGTAAACAGTGTATCCCTCCTAAATCCCTTAATACTTTTTAGCAGATGTACCATGACATTCTGGACCAAGTGTAGCTTTTGGATTTTCTGCAGAGTGGTTTCATATAGAGTAGGAATGGGTTTCTGTACCGGTTTGCTTCATCCCTGCGCATGCCACACGTTGCTCGTGCATGCGCAGTTGACTAATTTATTCTGCGCATGAGCAGAAACATGCTGGCAACAGCAGAAGAGACAAGGGAACCGTTCAGGGGGGCATGACCAGCCTGGGTCACTTCTGGTTCTGCGACCCAGGCCAAATCACCAGCTGAAATTGGGCAAAAGCATCCTTGGCTGTAGCATCTATCTGTTCCTCTAGCAAAAGCCTTGAATCCAGAACACCCACCTCTATATCTAGGAACCTGCTTCTTCAAGAGAAGTGCAATCCTATTGACAGCCAATGGTAAAACAAAAATTGAGCTACGTAGTTCAAGTATTGAAAACAGCAACTCTGTCTTGCTAGGATTTATTTTGAATTTTGGCTCATTCATATTATCATAATCTTCAGGCATCAGGCCAGGATTTTGATTGCAACCACAACCTAGCCTGGACATGCAATTACTGCTCAGTATCATTAGCACAAATATTATATTTCACATAAACAGATGTAAACCCCCCCCCATTGATTAATATAGATGCTAAGTAATACCCGAGAAGAACAAAATCCAGACACTTCACATTGGAGCAAGTACAGGTACCCTGATCGTTGTACCCCTATGCACAGAAATGGAAATTGCCCACTAGGGAAAGAACAGAAAAACTGGGAAACAGTGCCTCCAATCCCCAATCTGGTAAGCAGGGATCCTATCTACAGGCACTAGGATATGCCTAGTTACGTCCTTCCTTTCAATAAACTCAAAATAATCCCCAGATAGTCTTGCAAATTGTCATCTGAATCATCTCATTAAAGATATATCCAAATCCCAAAAATTGTATACAATTTTTACCTGTAAAAAAGCTCATAAATCAGAGTGTCCTATTGGAGAATGTTCCCCTGATTTCTTTTCCAGGAGAAAGTTGGGCATGAGTTGATAGATATGAATATGCAGGCATAATAAATATGGAAAAATAAGGATGCTTTGCCATTCTTATTATCATAGTATAACCTCCCACCTTCACACCTGTGGAGCAGCAGGGTTTGATCATCTATTTCTCCTTTTTAATTTTCTTAGGTATGATATATGGTTTCTTAAACTGTATTTCTCAATGTGATTCAACTCTTAGCCTCCACCTCAGCACCAGTGATCCTGCACTTGCCCAAAATCAGGACTGAGAAACTCTGGCAAAGCTGGCTGAGGAACTCTGGGAGTTGAAGTCCACAAGTCTTAAAGTTGCCAAGGTTGGTGACCACTGCTCTAGAGTATAGCTCAGTGATGGGATGTAGGCTCAAGAATTAGCTCAATACCCACATTATAATTTTGGTCTAGGGCTTTTTTAAACTCACAGCATAATAGGAAGCCGATGTTGCTGATACACACTAGTTTCTCCATGACTTTTTGCAGAATACACCATCTTCTATCTCTAGTCCTTACTATTGCAGAGCTTTAGCCAGCACTTCTCTGACCTAAACTTGCATTTCTTTTTCTCATTGTCCAGCCGAATTGAAAATATTAGTGCTGTTACAAAATAGAACAAATAGTATTTTCTGAAACACTGATAAACAATCCTGGTTAATCAAAAGATGGTATTTTAAAACTTTCCTAGTCTGCTTTTAACTTTTCTCAGGTCTACCGAAAGAAAGGAAGGAAGGAAGGAAGGAAGAAAGAAAGAAAGAAAGAAAGAAAGAAAGAAAGAAAGAAAGAAAGAAAGAAAGAAAGCATTCCAATGGTTAAGTGTACTTCTTTTCTGATTGTCACAACTTACAAATCTTTAAAAAAAGCTTCTGTTTTTAGGTTCCCTCAATTGAACAGCATCTTACTTAGTTAAGAAAGTCTGGTGGACAGTCTGTTGCTGAACTAGGATCAGCAAACAATAGAAAAACAGCATTGTCTCTTGATAGGATCCATATGGATTCCTTTGATTCTTGGAAATCGGTTGTTTCAAGTCTGGGAGCAATTAATCATGTTACAAATGGGTTTCTGACACATAAACAACATTTATGCCCAGTGAGCAGAACATAAATGTGAAAGGCTTGAACAGCCATCTGATGGGGATTACAGTTATGCACAACCGTATATCTGGCTGTTTGTATGAGACAGAAGCTACATGATAATACATTGAAGGGTATGAATGGATATGACTTTACTTCAGCCCTCCAATTATGAATATGCCTGTACGGACAATGCGTGTGCAAATTCTATATATACAATTCTTCACCATTCAAGTTCATCAGCTCTGTCGTTTCTACCCAGTGACCCAGCAATTTGAAACACTGGAGAGTAGATGGAAACCACATATTTTACACTCTGTCTCAGAAATGCTCTTTCAAATTATTTGGTTTTCTGATGTTAATAGCAAAGAACCAGCACTCTGCTTCTCCTTCACCCTGGGAATAAGCAACCCTGCAACATAATAGGCCACATTGTTTGTGGCCACATGCAAACCTTGTCAGTCATTTGTGGTTTAAAGTGTTTCTAAGAAGATCAGAAGCTTCATGAAGTATCTAGACTAGTGTTTCTCAAGGATGGCAACTTTAAGATGTGTGGACATTAATTCTCACAATTCCCCAGCCATTCCCAATGCTGACTGGTGAAATCTGAGAATTGAAATCCACACATATCTTAAAGTTGCCATTGCTGAGAAACTGGTCTATACTACTCTTGTGTTATTACACCTGATTCATTTTTTTAGATTTAGGTTTAGATTTCTCCTGGACTATATCATCACAGTTTATTTAACCATGAGGTATCTCTGTTGGCAACTTAATATTTGCCATTGACAAGCCCAGATAACCAAAAATAATAATCCTATGGTTTGTTTCCTGTTGTACCAGTTGAGTAGTAGCTCAGGTGCAGAAAGTTGACTTTGATTCCTTCCCATCATCAAATCTGTCAACTGGGGACTTCATTCAGGCTGCGGTTACACTGGGCTGCCTATTCTTCTGCAGCAGCAAGAGTCTCAAGGGGAACAACTCTTTCTTGTTTCAACACCACTTAAAAATTAAAAGAAGAAAATCACCTCCTCCTCAGCTCCAGACCTAAGGTTAATTGTTTGGAATCTGTCACTGCCACAGAAGTTAATTAAAGTTATTTGTTGTTACATTAAAATATGCTGGTTCGGCACTCCTGGTGGGGCATTGCAGATCTCCAAGAGATGCCTCAGTAGCTTCAATTAACCCTGCTGAGCCTGAACTTCCTGTATCTACCCACATCACCCACTATTTCAAGCAAG